GTAGTCCCATGCTGTTGCTTGAGACCTTACAAGCCCTAGAAACCTTCAGGTACTGGACGAGAAAGGTTACTGCATGTGTGACTATACGCTTTCCAAACTGAACAAGGCTCCTGGGACAGAAGATTGCATCAAATGCCAAGCCTCCCAAATAGTACTCTTGGGTCAGATTTTATAATCCACTCCACTACAGTAACACATTGGACAAGAAGCAGTCTAGTTTTTTGCTGCTGAATATTTTAATAAAGATCACTTTCTGCTCATATTCCAGACATATCCAAAATAGTAATTCTTTGTCTTCATGTAGCACCAGCGTGCCTGAGAGTATTCAGATTTCAAATTGCATTTACATTTCCTTCTGCAACTTACAGGGAGTACTAAGTATACACTAGGTCCTAAGAATAGTGAATATCAGTCATACCTGGCAAGGAATTGCTGCACCCCATTCCTAAACAATATTGCAAACTCCCAGCAGCGCTGACTCTAAACAGGTTTTGTCATAATCATCCATGTTACTTAGGGCTTCCTATAAAGACAAACACCACTGGGTGAAATATCACTACCAGCAATATTTCATTGCTGGGTGAAATATCACTACCAGGAAACATAGAAAAGTTATTCACAGTTCTGTGGTAATGTATGTTTGCTTTGCATCGTAACACAATGCAAAGGGCTATGTTCTTCTATATGACCTGCAAAGTTTAAAAAAAAAAAGAAAGAAAGATATAAGAAATAGTGAACGATATCATGAGACAACAATGAAAGCGGACTTTGAAGAAACTATAATATTATAAACACAGCTCTTTGGGAGAAAAAAATTCCTTTGCATGTCTCAAAGAAACTGTAAAGTCAAAATTCGAAGCAATGTCTAACACGAAACATTTAGCTTAGAAAATACTCCCAGGTGTCAGAGCAACACTTTAATTTCTTACAGATTCAGAAAGTAGGCCACAAGGAGCTTGTCTCACAAAAACTCTTTGGCAGAAAGAGTAACAGAATCCAAAACTCATATCTGCATCCTGTTTCTATAACCATAAACCAGCTTTTCTCCTTAAAATGAAAACTTCACACTTAACACAGCATCACAAGGAGGGTGCAGCTGTAAAACTAACATGGTAGAGCTTAGCTGAATTCTTGGCTTTCAGAAACTCCTCAAGTGAACTCTTAAGGAGGGGAAAATAAAGCAAACAGAATGCACTGGCATTCATCTGCTAAAATGCAAACATAACAGAGAGTATCTTTTAAAATCTACATGTCTCACAACTGACAAACCTAAAACATGGTGCCCTGTGACAGTGACGTATCATTCCGTCTCGGTACTATATATGATAACCAGATTCATATGTACAATTTTTACCGGATTCAGAGACTTTCAGTGCCTTACTACATTCACATGAAATTTCTTTCTTGGACTTTATCCTTTCCATTTTCTCCCACTTTCCCATCACATCTGCGAGGCCTAAAATCACTTTATTCTCATTCTTGCCCTGCTTCAATTGGTACACACTCTTAAAAGCATCTTCTCTCTACCAAATCACTTGACTCAAAACCTTTCTAAATGGTCTGCTCTGCTGCATCATTTATCAAGAGCAAATCAAGAACTACAGACAAAAACGTGAACGTCACAGAACCACTGGCATTTTTAAGAGCTTCATCAGGCAGCACTTTCCTCCATCCCCACTTTTAACTTAAATAACCACACTCCAGAGGTCACCTGCAAAGGTATGATTTGTGAAGTAGCAAAACGTTTCAAATGCGTTGATTTCACCTATGCTTAAAATAAGGATAGAACACTCAATTCATGATGTTGTGTGCAGGTTCATATGAAATCACACAATTTCACCATGATTTGGAAACATGCGTGGGTTTTTTTTTTTAAATGTTGACAGCTTACTGCTTTTGTGTTTCACGCACCCTACCTGCAGCGTGTTGTAATCTCTCGTAAAGGGCACCATCAGCTCCCAAAGCGACGAAAACACCACCAAGGCCGTGAACTCCAGCTTGTAGTTGGTCGCCATGTGCTCGAACAGCATGGTCAGGCCGTGGACGGCCAAGTGTTTCCGCTGGTACTCCTCGGAGCCCTCCACTGACACTGGCCGTGTCATGGAGAGTGACACGTCCATCACCACCACCGTCGGCATGATGAGCTGCTCCTCTCTGCTACCGTCGCGGAGAACAATGATCCCCTGCATGGAGGGGGAAGAAAAAGGCCACACATGATTACTGCAGCCGCAGTTATGAGGTGACGTGTCTCGCCCTCTCACACTGACCCCACTGTGCGGTGGGGGAAGCAACAATTACCCTTTTGCCCCCCAAAACGTGGGATCTAGCACAGATTAAGTCAACGGATCTGCTCCTGAACCACACACAGCATACCCAACCGGCTGTAAAGGCCTGGAAACGGCGAGCGCGGCCAGGGCTGAGCCTCGATGAGGGAAAGGGAGCAGCAGTGGCACCCCGAGGGCCGAGGAGAGGCCTGGGGACCCCCAGCAGGGAGCCAGCCCTCCCTCCCAAGCCTTCCCCCTCAGCGGGGCCTCTCCCCGGCGCCCTCCCCCGGGGACAGCTCGGGGTGTTTCGGGGGTGAAAGAGGGGCGAGGCGAGAGGGGGAAGGGAAATGGTGTGGCTCACCCC